CGCAAAATACTGTGCCTTCACGAAGTTTGCACTTCAAGGTCCACAAAATACCGCGCCTACCACGAAATCTGCACTTCAAGGACTGCAAAATTCTGTGCCTGCCACTTCAAGGTCCACAAAGTACTGCCCTTGCCACGAAAAATGAAAACAAAAAACATCCTAAACTAAATCCGAGCCCCAGGCCAAAGGCAACTAGAGGGATAGCTCGCGGAGGGAGCTTCCTTGAAGAAACCGAAAACAAGCGATCTTTGAATTCGATTCCAAGGCAAAATTTGTAAGTAGCGTCCTCTTTAGTAAGAATGCTCCTAGTAGTAATGCCCTTTGTTACTAGTAGCGATGCCCTTGCTCCTAGTAGCTTCCTTGCTCTGTTCGTAGTAATGCCAAGAGCCACGTTCATAGCGTCCTTGTTCCTAGTAGCTTCAAACGATTCCTAGTAGCGACGCACTGAGTTACTAGCTTCTTCGTGTGTGCACTTCAGTCCTTTTTGACCGTCCTGTTTCCTCAAGAGCCCCGATAACCGTACTGTTCTGCCTCATTCCTAGGCTTTTGGCACTGAGGGTTGACTTCAGACCCCGTGCCCTCGATGGCGTTGAGGTCAATGATGCATTTGGTGACCAGATGGTTTCACAGGTTTCAAGAAGGTCTTTCTCAGAGAGAAGTAGTGTCACGGTCACTTTTACCTGCAGTGATTCATGATGTAGTGATTAATGTGTTTGATGCGATATGTCGCAGCACGAAGTTTGAAAACATCACCCACACGAACACATGATGTGATATTGCACACATGACCTCACATTGTGCACTTTTTGACAGCTCATTCTGCGTTGGCATAGCCGTGCCACAGTAAGGTGTTGTGCACCGAGTTTGCAACATCCCATCATCCACTTACTGTATCGGTGCCCGGATGGAAATATGAATCAATGTTTGATTCCCCCTAACATCATACCGTTTGCATACCCGCATCATCCCGGATCCTCTCGCGAGCACATTAAACGAACAGAAACCTTTCTTTTTGAAAGGTTGCGCAGCCTTAGGAAACTGATGCGGGGATGTCAGATCTGCAACGCCGGTTCGACAAGTTCAAGAAGAAGGAGTTTTTGCCTTTGCCGTTTTAATCTCTCTGCGTTGGTCATTTCGAACGTATCACGCAAATTGGGTGGAAAAATCTTAGAAGACTTCGGCGGTCAAAGTCTATTTTTTGTGGGAGTGCTTCAAGAGTGACGAATAGTTCAGAATCTTCTCGCATGCTTTACCTGCATTGTGCGTTCGCAACATTTTGCAAAGCCCTTGGAGTCTTGTGCGGTTTGGAAAATCCTGGCGGCTCCAGGAGAATGACCAGCTGCGCAAGTTTATTGCCCTCAAGGTATGAGAAGGCAGCGACGTCCATGATCCGAACATATTCCTACTGACATCATCGAATGACTACGGACTCCCCCAAAACCATCAAATCCATTCAAATCCTGTATGGCTGTGGGGTTGTCTCGCAGTGTTTCAAGTGCCAAGGATTTAGTTTAGGATTGCCATGGATTGCCAAAAGAGGTGTCTCAGGGCAGCCCATCAGCAGTTAAGGGCCGTGAAACAACCGTTGCGGGAATCTGAACAAGCAACTCACTTCAATGAGCATACAGCCGCCTATCGCTTCTTTTCGCCCACTAAATCTTTCCTTGTGTGCCTATCAATACAAATCACTATCCAGTCGCGCCGATGTCAGAGCTAAATGTTCCGGTCTCCAGAAAACTGGAGACTGGTGAGTCACGGAGCGGATTTGCAAAACAATCTCGTGCCTCGGTGCAAGCTGCAGACAGAACTCACTTGCTTTCAGTTTTTCTTTTCCGGCTCGATGTTGCAGACTACAAAATCTGCCGACTCTCAACCTTTCCATTTTTGATGGCCTGCTTGAAAAAACAAGCATGTGATTAAAATGAGTCCAATCTTCCCACAAGGGAAAGACTGTTCAGTCGTTTGCGAGGTTCGGCTTTTCCTTCAGAAATCACACAAATGTTGCAAGATGACACACAACTCTGCCAAAAGCATTCAGGGAAATGCTCGACCACGCACAGTCGGCCTGCAAAAGCACAAGCCGGAGACTATGGATGAGCCACGTTTGCCAAGCATCATTTGACCGCCAAAACATCGCTACGCTTTTCGCTTTTCTTGTCCTTGCTCAACTTATCCAAAAATTGGACATGTGTTTTTGTTTGTGTGTGTGTCGCTGTCCTTCGGCTCAGAAACAAGTTCTCAAAAGAACTGTTGTGTCGAGCGTGCGCAGCGGACAACTTCAAGCCCGTGACCGGTGAAGAAGTTCATGAGAAAGGTGTGAGCCACAGCACCATGTGAAAGCTTGAGACGTGACAGGGCAGCCTACGTTTTTTAGCCGGGCTACAGGAAAGGATGTAGAGGCGTTGAGTATACTTCAGAAAAGACAATTATGTGGAAAACTACTTTTAGTTTGTGATGGTTTGTGAAAATTCACTTGGAACTCATAGATTTGCTTTTTGTGCAGGGGTACGGTATTGACATGCCTGAATTTTTGGTTGTGACAAGAGAGGTATAGAGGACGAGAGGAAGAGAGGGTACTGCTTTCAACGCTATTTCCAGGCCCCGCCTAGTCATGACCTCTGACACGCAAGAACGTGGTGTATTCCATTCTTCAGACCTTAAGACATGTCTTGTCCCCTTTCTTTTTCTTTACACCGGTAGTCCTTTCTTGCTGTCTTTCTTTCTTTCTTTCTTTGTCGTGTCGTTGTTTGTTTATTTTGACATTTGGATTTTATTCCCACCTGTCAGGTGAGGGTTGTCAGATTTTTAAGAGAGATGCCGCAACTCCTCATCCTCACATCCTGCTTCTCGCCGCACAACAGCAAAGGCCAGATCGCAGTGGGGCACTCCCGGACCTCAACAGCAACCGTCAGATCGCAGTGGGCACTCGTGGACCTCAACAGGAGGCGCGCGCCCACACTACACACAACACAAAAACGCAAACACAAACACAACCACGAGCACAACCACCACAATATAACTATTAGGGAAAAATGCCACCAGGTGCCTGGTCGTTTCGGCGTTGGAGTCGTCACGCCCCCAGTCAGGCTGCGGCGTTCACATGCGCACCCTGCTTTTGCAACTTTCGAAAGCTACTTCGCGCTCCACATTTTCAAAAGCGCTTTCACGTTCCCCGCCGGTGTTCCACGCAACTTCTCACGTCGAAACACCCACTGCCACACACGCGTCTCCAGCTTTGCTGCGCGCGTGGCCTTTACACCTTTCCTTTTTGTTGTTGGCTGTTTGTGGCAGTACTTCCACCACCACCCAGACCAGCAGACGAGCTGCACGAGGTGGCGCCAGAGGTCAAGGCGCACATCGAAAGCTTGCAGAAGAGCATGGGGGCGGCTTTCACGCCCAAGTTGGAGCAGGACATCATCACTGCTGCAAGGGCCAATGCCAAGACCCCAAAGCTGGA